TGCGAGTATGATTAGTTTCGTTGGCATGTTGATTCGTAATACGCATAAGCATCAGCAGCATCATCACAAACAAGATTGTTGGTAATAATAATAGTGGCGGCTGGACTAGCTCAATAGTGGCGGCCGGACTAGTTCAATTCGATGGTGTTATGATTAGTCTTGCGATGATTACTTATACGAGCAATAGCTGCATATGTAGTATGATTCCTCATATTGACATTCTTGATATTATTATGATGGTTCATTATTTGGTGTCGTACATTCCTGTCCTTTTCCTTCTCATTAGTATTAGAAGTAGTAGTAGCAGTAGTAGTAGTAGTAGTAGTAGTAATGAAAATAGTAGTAGTAGTAGTAGTAGTAGTAGTAGTAGTATGATTTCTCCTCCTATTTGTCCTCCTCCTTCCTCCTCTGCATTATCCTCCCTGTCCTCCTCCTCATCCCCCATCTCCTCGCCTCCCCCTCCTCCACCACCACCACCACCACCACAACGTCCTCCTTTGTCTGTCGCCAGAAATCCCACCACCCCTGGGGAGTGAGCTTGCTCCTCGCTTCCCTTTCCTAGCCCAGGTGATCCCTTCACCTGGACCGTATCGATGCGTGAACTCTTGGCGTCGATTTACGCCATTGCAAGTAGCGCCCGTCAAATGAAGCAAGTTAGTGGACCATGATACGCGCGCTAGAGAAAGGCGCGCGCAGCCCTGTCCCGTCCAGGCGTCGAAAAACGCTGAACCCCCACGATAGCACTTGAACCAGACGCCCGCAGCGGCGGGCACATGGGGGATTAAAACGGCGGCAAAGAGGACGCGGCAAACGACTCCCCCCGCGAGGGGCACGGAGCTGCCTGACTTCACACGGCAGCCTTCAGCGCGCCTCGTCAGGGGCCGCAAAACCCAGAAACAGCCTTACAGCGCCAACGATGGGAGCAGTACCTACTCCTGCTGCTGAGGTGAGAGCTCAAATGCTCGACGCCCCCCGAATTTCACTCGACTGACCCGCAGGGCACCAAGCGGCGTTCGCTCAGCCGGAGCGGCCCTTCCCCGCAGCTCGGGTCGACCTCGTTCACCTTGAGCCCCCACTCCAGCCTCGATCAGTACTGCCATTCAAAGAGATGCTCTGCCACTGATTACTGCTGACTGCCTGAGTTCCAGATCCTCTGCCAGTATCCACAATACTGTTGTCCCTGCTCCACAAGGAGTTCCCCTCATTCCAACGGTCCCCAGAACCGCCATCGCCCCCCCGAATCCCAGAGTTTTCGTTACTCCACAGGCTCCCAGAGGACGAAGCTCCCCAGCTACCCTCGCCACCGTCATAGCCTCTGCCGCGGCCTGGCCCTCTCCGCGAGGAATGGCACATTCTGGCAGGGGCGCCCCTGGCGGAGCCAGACGGGCGACCCCCACTGGCGCCGCTACCCTTTGATGGATCTACTGAACGTGCTCCCTCATTTCCAGAATCCTCTGTCCAGCGATTGCCACGTCGATTCGACCGCTCGCGGCCAAAGTCTGCATCGTGCGAACCGCGATCGAGAGCGTCGGCAGGATCGCGGTCGCCCCCACCGATTGCCTCGCCCCAGCCGACCAGCTAGGCCCGCCGCGGCTCTTCCGCCCCCGCCGGCAGCCGACGCCGGGGGCGGGGGAGGCACAGGAGCAAAGGAATCCAGCTCATCCTTCTCGCCCTTCCCTCGGGAAAGGCGCGTCGACCACTCCGCCCGGCGCGCGTGAAGTCCGCTCGCATCACCACCGAATCGTATACATATATATGTATACCGCCGACGTCTCGGCTCAGGCACCGGCATAACATGCCGCGCCGTCTCCGCTGCAGCGCCCTGGAGAAGGACTCGCCCTCTTCCGTTCCTACCTACCCACGGGAAAGATTGCAGGTTCGACTCTTCGGTCGCCAATCTACACACACACAGGTTATCAGTCTATTGCGTTGCGCTCCCCGTCGCGACGCTCCGCCTCGTCTTTAACTCTGCCGCGTCGCACTGGACCCCACGGGGAACAGCGCCTCTACGCGGGCAGGGTTTCCGACGGAGCGCAAGCGCGACCGCGCGGAGAGGGCGAGGGGGTTGGCGACGCCGCCCCCCCCCCCTGTCAAACGACGGCAGCACCGCGCCGCTCGCGGCAAAGGCGGGGACCTCATTCCCGACTCAGCATCACCGCCGCTCGCGCGCGCATCCACTCACGCGCCTAAGACCCCACATAATGTTCTGGCGCCTGATACGTCCAATACGTTTCCTTTTGGACACCCGAAATGGGCACCGAAAGAACGGGTACAATGCCCAACAACAAATGTTGTCCAAAACCAACAGCAGCCGCTGTTTGGCAGGAGGCCTTCTGTCTCGAATGGACACGGGCCGCGGCGGCGCGGACGGCGAGTCCTGTTCAAAATGACCGGGAACTGCTGTTGGACATTGTACCCATTCTTTCGGTACCCATGTCGGGCGCCCAGATTCCTGGCGCCAACGTTGATTGTGCTTACGCGCCGGTGGAAACACCAGCAGTTGGCCTCGGAGCCGCCGCTGGATTCGCCTCGCCTCCATCTTCTTCCCCAACCTTGGCTGGCGAAAACGCCCGCAGCGGCGGCGCCAGAGAAGCGC